AGCATAAGAATAACATAAAGTAATGATAAAAAAATAACTCTGAATTTAATTTCAGGACTTAATAAAATCCTAAGGAGCACAAATTAGGAAAAAGGAGTACGTTTATTTTCAAATATTGTCTATGCAAAAGTCATAGAAAAAAAGCCATGTAGGTTTTCAGGGTTCTTTGGGTCTGGTTTTTTGAAAGACCGTTGTGATTTTTTTTATTCTGGAAAATCATGCAGCTTTCTGTTTCAAAATACTGTTCTTGTGAAGATAACTATATCCAACATTCCCAACTTGGAGTATAGTATATAGTACATAGTATATATCCAGGAATAGAAGATCACCAAAAGATTACCTATATGGACAGAGTGTTTTAATGAATGTGGAAGATAATTATTTATGACCTTAAATAACCAGAAAAAAATTTTAAAAGCCATAACTATACATAGGAATACATGTATGAAAAAGTCAGTAGTAAAATACTAATGTTTTAACTAGCTAACATGTTTACACATGCAGCCAAAACTTTGGAAGATTATGACATTCCTGCATTTCTCTGGCAAAAGGCCTGCCACAGACTTTAAAAAAATTTTAAAGTCAAGCCAGGTTTTAATTGCAAAGTTTATGGATGAACCCATTAAGAAAAAAACACTACAAGGCTGCTAAACTCCTTAGCCACAAATCAGTGGGTGTTGGGACAGTACCATCCTGTGTCCTTTTAGTCTTTACTCAGCAACCACAGTCACAGCCACCAGGAACAGGATGTAGAGGATGCAGTCTGCCCAAACTTGGCTGCTCTTGTGTCCATTCTAATGAGGGTCCAAACCTTTTCCTGACTGGGAAAGCACTTGAAAATATGCCCAAGTACATCTATAGTCAGCAAAACATTCTAGCATATGCTTACTATTAAGCAAATGATTGGATTGAAAAAATTAAACTTTAGTTGTTCCTTACATTTATGTGTACTAAATGCCTTTTTTGCATAAGGAGCTAAAGGGGTTGACACTTACAGTCTGACTACTTAGAGTCAGATAAGAGCTATTAGAAAGTATCCATAGAAAGTGTCTGTTTTATTCATATTTCAAACAGCCATACCACTAAATACTTCTAAAAATAAATTAAATTGCTCAGTTGGTCAGATCACCTGGTTACTTAATACATCCAAACCACTTTCCACGAGAAAAAGATGCATCAGGCAGGAGCTCCAGGACAAAATCTGTTGCAATGCTCCTGAGATCTGAAATCCATGTTTTCAGACTGTTCACTGGGATTCTGCTAAGGGCACCTGTGGAAGTTTATAACTCTATTTAAAAGAATAAAGATCCGGTTTATGCAGTACAGCCAAGTGGGCTGTTCATGCAGCCCTCCAAGGAGTGAGTGTGCACAGCACAGACCTGTGTCAGCCACTGCTGGGAATTACCATGGATCTGAGACAGCAGTGAACAGACAGTGGAACTGGAGGCAACATTGCTCCCTGTATGACTCTTCCCCATGTGATTACTTATCCAAATTAAGATGCCTTCCCTTAACACACTGCTACTTTTACAACTACGCATCTGTACATGTGTGGGAAGAAGACAGCACCTAATCCAAACTGTTCTGCATGTGAAAACAAACACATCTGAAATTCAGAAGTATTTCTTTAAGAAACAGTAAAAGGTTCTTCGTCTCACCCAAAGGAGCAGAAAGTCAAAATGCACATTTGCAATACGCCCAACTAATGTAACTGTTGTATACAATTCTCTCATTGGAAGGATATATATTCAAAAAAGCATGGGGTTTTGCAGAGGAAACCCTGCCTTCTTCATCTGATGTCAAGGACAGCTTTGCTTTAGAATTCATCTGGGCCAAGATTTCATCCCATGTGTTTCCAGAGATTCTCTGTGATTCTGCCAACAGTAGCACAAGTGGCTCGCAAGAAAAAAAAAAAAAAAAACCCAAAGAGGAAATAGTCTCCATGGAATATTTCTTTGTGAACTCTTACAATTAAGACTAAATAATAATAATAATAATGACAATGATTCTTACAGTCTTTTCTCCTCATGCAAACCCAGGCACAATGTCCTCCATTAAAACCCCATTTATTTATCAGGTGTCATACCTAGAAGAATTCATGTTGATTTATATCATGGAACTGCAAATCAGTTTCTCATGAAGTTTACTCCTCCTCATAATATGCAACAACTCCTACATAATATGTTTGGGGTTTTTATAACTCAAGATGTTTAGCTAACACAAAATAGAAATATTCCATCCAACTTTTCAAAAGTAGTATTTCATCTAGTAATGTAAAAAAATTATGAAATATTTAATTATTTCAGAGAGGAGAGTGTTTAATCAAACATAAGAAAAAATCAAGAAAGTACATTTTCTATGCTTTAAAACAGCTAATTCTTGAATTAGCCCTTCCCTGATTTCATCTACAAGTAGATTTTCACTGCTGAATTGTCAAAACTTTCAAACAAGAGAAATACTCACAGTCTCTTAAAGATCACATTATAAATAGTCGCGTCCTACCTCCACATTTCTCTCTCTGACTTCATTCCTAGGCAGCACTGAAGAAGCAGCTACAGTCACATGGTGCATTCAAGGTCATGCTATTCTAATTGACAGAGATAGCATTGATAAATTATGTGGAAACAATGATAATGGAGTCATTAACCTTGTTCCAGCACCCTAAAGGTGCTTCATAATTAAAAGGAGTGAAAAAGTTACAAAAACATATAAAGATTTTATTGCTCAGCCTTTTCTCTCCTACACACTGCTGCAAAGCACTGTCAGGGAATAGTAATATTGCTGTAACGTGGCTGCCTGTGCTCTGGCACGCAGGGGCGCAGGGATGCACTGCCTTACACTCGGAGGAGGAGTCAGGTAGTAAAGTGCACAAACCACTGACTTTCTTTTTTTTTTCAAATAGGAAGTTGGATCCAGAAGGCCTCTCTCTTTGGCGTAAAGGATGCTGGAGCACATGAAAGATCATTCCAGCCAGGAAGTCTTTCTCAGTCCAAGAATCTATGCTGAGCTGTCATTTCCAAACACACAGACATGTGGCCAGTGCTTTGAGAACTTGCATTAAAACTGTAGTGAGTTAATATACTGAACTGAAACTTCTCAGATATGTAGAGATACAGGTACAGATACATAGAATTAGGTAGAATTCAGAATTTATCCCTTATGTCTCATGCAGAAGATTGCAGTAATTCCCAGACTAAAAGCCTGACTAGTGTCCCTAATTTATGTATGACAGGTAATTTATTAAGGGTGCACACATTAATGAATCACCATGGTTGCTTTGACTTAAAGAGAAATGTTATGAAAACAGTGAAGAGATAGGACATATGTTTCACATAGCAACTCAAAGTAACCTTATATTTGCCTTATTGTAAAGAATCTATAGGATTTCTGAAAAAAAAATTAAAATTGGTTTACAGACAATCTACCCTTATATTCTTGACACTTCAAATGCTGCTTCTCTTTCAATCCCGTCACAGTAAGACCAACCACACTAAAATTATTAATAAAAAGAGGACAGTACAGAGCAGCTTTCCTGGAGTTCAGGTGCCCAAAGATGACACTACACTGGCAAGACAGAATCCATTATACTTATTTTTAATCTTCACTTATCACATGAACTGTTGTGTCTCCCTGTATAGCCCAGCTGTCAAGATATGATCTACAGCATATTGCACAACTTACTTAAAAGGACAAATAAAAAAGTCCCAGATCATATCTGTATATAGAGGCTTGACCTCATGGAGATTACTGGATATACAATAAAGTACATTCTGAAGGCCTGAGTGGAAATCAGATTCTTTCTACCGGTTCTGTCATGTCTGGATAAACTAATAATCAGCATATTCTTCAAGCATTCAGAAGTATCGCAAATTATACTTTTAAACAATAAACTGTCAATTACAAAGAGGAAGTAAAATTGCCAAATTATACCCAGTGTCAGAGAGATTCTCCTCTGTGTCCTCTGAGCACAGGCTGACGGCTAGAGTTGCAGAGCACAAGCGCCTCTGATGCATGGTATCTAAAAACTTCCCACCGCAGAAATTCCCAAGTTTTCAATGGCTGGGCTCACTGCCCGGCTGGAATGCGTACTTCGGCGATACGCCTACAGCCCTGCACCACCCATAGCCAAGGAGCACCTACAGACTCGGCTCCCAGAGCAGCTCCCGTGCTCCAGAAATGCTGCTGGGGTAGCAGAAACGTCCTCGCAAGCGTTCAGCTGCAGAGAACTCAACTCAGCATAGTTTAAAGAGGACAGAAACAAACATGTAAACAGCATCTGTGGCGTCTCTTCTCTATTGACTTTCCTGGAAACGCATTAACCTATTACAGTACTTCAAAATAAATAAGCGAACCAGAGGCGAGGCAAGAGTATACCGTTCTCTCCCAAAAGTTTCTTTCTGCCTGTCCTTTCATTTGCTCCGAGCTCCCCGTTCCCTGGGATTAGCGATCGTTTTCAGCAGGGATCAAATGAATGACTTTTCCGCTAATGACACTTAAGAGATGCTAAAGCCACCCTGGGCGCCACCAGGGACCCGGCGAGCGGCGGCAGCCCCTGTCCCCACGCCAAGGCGCCCGGAGGGAGGCGAAGCCAAGGGCAAGCCCCGCTCCGCAGCCGGCCCCGGCCGCCGCTCCGGCCCCCCGGCAGCGACAGCGGCAGCAACAACCGGAGGGGCGGCGGGCACCGGGGCCGGTGGGTCGGGTCGGGTCGGGTCGGGGGGGACCCGTCCCCGTGAGACCGGGGCTGCAGGGGGTGCTGCCGCCGCCCCCCGCCCGGCCCCCCCCGGCATGGCGAAGCTCTGTCACTGACGCACATTTAATTCGCCCGGCTGCGGGTACCGCGCAGCGCCGCTCGCATCCTCCCCCCGCCGCCGGGGAGGGGGCGGCTCCGGCGGGGAGGGGGAAAGTCAAACTGCAGCAACAAAGTTGCTCCCCCTCCGCTCCCCCAAACCTGCCCCGGCCCCCAGGGGGTGGGCAGAGAGGGGGGCCCATGCCTGCCTTACCTTGCTTGACGCACTTGAGGCGGATGGGGTCCTTGCAGTGCTTGATCACGGCCAGCACATCCCTGATGGTGAGCCCGGCCACGGGGGTCTCGTTCACCTCCAGCAGCAGCTCCTCCGGCACCAACTTGCTGCCGCCCTCATAGGCCACCTTGCCGGGCTTCACTTCCCCCAGGTAGGGGAACTGCCCATTCTCGGCGCCCCCCTTCAGCTCGAAGCCCAGCTGTCCCTCCGGGTTCCTCACGATCACGATCTCGTGGACTCTGCTCGTCCAGTGGCTTTTTTTCTTCAAGCCCTTGGACATTGCCGTGGGGATGCTCTGCCCGACTCCCTCCCTGCAGTCTTGTGCTCTTCTTCCCCCCCTCCCTCTCTGCCCCCACTCCCCGGGGCAGCCGCGCTCCTCCGGGCAGGCTCGGGGCGGGCGGCAGCGGCCGCGGCTGTGCCGGCCGGCGGCCCCGCGGGCTGCGAGCTGGGTCGGGGAGCGCCTCTGTGCCCGCTCCTCCCGGCTTTAGCTGATATCCATGGCAGCCGCGGCGGCCGGACCCTGCCTGCGCGTGGATGCACTAGTTGTAGAGAAACTGGCAGGAGGGAGGAGGGAGGAGGGAGGGAGGCAGCGGGAGGGAGGGGACGGCCGCGGCGCGGGGAGGAGGAGGAGGGGTGTCGGTGTCGGTGCCGGAGCGAGGCGGGCGCTGTTTCGCCGCTCCCGCCTCGCCTGACCCGGTAGTGAAGGCCGAGAGAGAGGCTGCCTGGCACGGCCGGCAGAAGGCGGAGAACGGCCCGGGCGGGGGGGCGAGGGCGCTCGGCGGGCGGGAGGGAGAGCGGCGACCCCCGCCCGGCCCCAGCGCCGCCCCGGCCGGGAGGGGGCGCTCGGGGGAGCGATGGCGCCCGCCCAGCACCGCCTGCCCCGGCCGGACAGTGCCCGGTGCCGCCCCGCGCTGCAGCCGCGAGGGGACCGGCAGCGCCTCGAACCGTACGGGGCGTCACTTCGCTGGGCGAGCTGCCCGAGCCGGAGCGGAGAAGGGTCCTGCGGTCCAGGAGCTCTGCTCGCGGCCGGGAAGGACCAAAGGCAGCTGGGCTTCGGGCTGTGGCTGCAAAACCAACCTGTTTACTTCGAGGGTCTCCGTGTCACGGGCGTTTGCAGAGTGGTTTCACTCCACGCGAAGACCTCAGTTTATTGAGCTGCACGTGGGTATTATTGTTCACGCTGGATGCTCTGGCCAGAGCTGAAGGCTCAGGTGGGTGCTACACCTGAAGAGGGTATGACAAAAAGACGGGTGGCAGTTCTTCCCATGAAATTTACTGACTGTCACCCGGCAAGTGTTCACCACCTTCCCACCGATTGCCTTCTGCTGCTTGTCCTTAGTGGCCAAAATGCGGCACTCCAACCTGCAGACCTTCCCTAGAGCCCCAGCAGTGGATACATTGTTCAGCAGATGATACTGTGGCTCCCTCCTCCTGTGGGCTCTCCCTTTGCTTACTTCTGTCATATGCCTCACATGTGTGAGAGCAATGGAGTGTAGCAATAGGCATGTCTTTCTAGGAAACTTGCCTTGACTAAAAAAATAGTTTCCATCCGACAGAATACACTCAGAACAACATCCTGACTTGAAGAAGCGCAGTTCATGTGCCTGCGGGATGTAGGAGAGCGGGATACATGACGGCAGGGGTCTGTGCACAGGGTCTTGAATGGGATAAGGCAGGAGAAATGTACTTTGTGTTATGGCATGTGATTTAAAGATGGTCAGATATTTTTAAAATTTCAATTAAAGTGACTCTGCAATGAAATTTTCCAAATTGTACTGCTGTTTTTTCTCTTGGTTTCTATGGAAACAGGCCTTTATGCGATCATGCTTGGCTGTGTCTCCTTTACTTCTCCAATAACTTTTGAAGCTGTTGGGCAGTTTCACCCAAATCTATCTCAAATATAATTAAGCTATTTCATGAAAACAGGCAGCTGGATAGGGCTGAGAGATCCTGTAAATGTCCCAAAGGCTGTAACATGAACTTGCCTCTTATTAAACAGTGATTCACATGGTTGAGAGACCATATAAATGTCTTGGTAATGAGAAAAGTTTCAATTACAGCTCATTATCAGCCTCACTATAAGTCTGTGGGAAAACAGGGTTCTCAGTTCATTTTCCCTCAGAATTACTTGCATTCCAGAGGTGGAACAGAGACATGCAGAGGGAAAGAAAACATTGATAAATTACTGATATCTGTATTTGCAAGTCATTTCACCTGTTTTGCTGTGGGGGCCTGGTCAGAAGTACAAAACTCTGTGTGTGAGTGGCTTCACTAAAGTGACCTCAAAGGATAAACAAACCAAGACCTCACATATTTGGAAACATGAGATGCATAAGTACAGAGAGCTGAAGATGGGAGGGGAGCTGGAAAGACACCTTGAATGGAAGGTACTATGGTGTTTTCACTGGTGGGACAAGGGTTAGGTAATGGTCTCCTTTTCCAGAGACCATCATGAATGTCATGTTGTCACTCGGGAGCAGGGGCTCTGCTCTGGACAAAAAGAGACATTTGGAAAGAGACCAAGAGATCAGTAGGTTTGTCTTTCTGCAGCCCAGCCTTTTCAATTTGTCTTGGGTTTTAGTTCAGAAATGAGGTAGGAACCAAATGGCTGAAAAGAGAAATACAAGACATAACATCCCGTTTTCCTTCCTATATTTTACCAAAATCACTTCTTTGCTGAGTCATCTGCTCTACTAATATCCAGTCTTTAGAAGTGGTCATCATTTCCTAATTTGGAGTTTGAAGTCATTCTGCTAGTATAGTATTGCCATTGTTGATTTGTCTTATAATTAAAATAAATTTTTAAGTAACTCCGTGTTTACCACAATATATGTACAACACTAGGGCATCTGCCAAAAATGCAGCTTTTAATAAATATGTCAAGAAATATTGGAAATATCCCTAGGTGGGGGAAGGGCATACTGTAGATATTATTTTTCTATTTCTTAGGAGTCTCTAGTAACATATTGATCAGAGTTTTTTAAGTGCTCATTACCATTTTAAGACAGATGACTTTTAGAGTAGGTAATGGGTAGAGCATTTTTGATTTCACATGTGCTATGGACAAATCCAGCTGCATGAACCCTTCATGTCTAACTGCAGTTGTATTAATCTAAAAAAATACCATGTAGAGGTGGTGGAATTGGTGTTCCAGGGGCATTAACTTTGCCTTCTGGAGGTGGGCAGCAATGTAAGCCAGACAGATCCTAGCGCAGGCATCTGCAGTTTGGCAGAGAAGTGGGAGATTAGATGGAAGGAGCCTTAACAGTTTTCCCAAAGCAGATCTGTGTGTTGGTTGATCCTCATGTCAGGAAGGATGGCAGTTTTCAGGTTCAGAGACCAAGAAAACTTGGTGAGGAGAACGGCAGGCCATACCTGTTAAGATTAACAGAGCATGTTAATAATAATAATTATGATTAACAGAGAGAGTGAAGGATGGCTGAAGAACATGGTGCTCCTCTGCAGCATTTTCTTACAGGAGGCATAAGATTTTAGTTTTGAGTTGGCTGTGTATGGGTAAAATTTTGCCATCATATCATAACTGGCTTATGTGCTTTGGGCCTAGTGCAGTAATACCAGAAATGCATAGTTTGCTTTGCACCATTTCAGCTAATTTTGTTTAATTTTTACGGGGGTAGAGGTTATCTGTGCAACCAGATTATTCTTGTCTCTCACAGAGCAAGCATCCCAGCATGTGGCTGAGGGAGTGAGTGAGCAGATTTACTGTCTGACCCGTGAAGAGCTTGAAAAGGACTTTGTGATTTGCCAAGATCTTTCTGTTAGTCCCTTCCATTGGTTCATCCCAGGAGGGCTGTGAGCTGGTCCTGAACGAATGTAAGGGTATCTATCGCAAGGGATTTCCTGTGAGCAAAAGTAAAAACAGCACATAATGAAACACATTCACCAAACAACACAAATGCTTTTATTATTCCTTTAAATCTGAGCCTGTAAACACAGGAACCAGTAAGTCACTGCACATTTGGGAGTAAAGTTGAGCACATGAGTAAGCTGAAGCGTGAGACTTCATAAATAATTATATTTGGTAGCTGGAAAGGAATCCTTCCTACTGTAACATTACAGATTCAGTAAAAAAGTAACTGAATTCTGATTTTATTTTCAGTATGCCATGTTTTTAGATAAGTGAATTCCTCAAACAGAAAATGATGTATTGCACATGCCAAAGGGGATAAAAAGAAAATACATCCATTACCTTCTATTATTTATGCAGGAATGGAGTTCTCTGCCTTGTAATTGTGTTTGTAATGTTGGACTTGAACTCAGAAGACATTAAATTTCCTTCTTCAGCACATGCTTCCTGTGTGACTGGATGATAACTACATGATATTTCTCTCTCATTTTTTCCATTTCAGTAGGGGCATAACTTCTCATTTCTCTACAGTTTTCTATTTAGCATGTTAGCCACCCAAGTTATTCTTAAATAAGCTTCTCAACTCTACAATATAGATTCATGACAGGACATGTATTCATCTAGGGCCAGGATTCAGATGATCTAATCCAAAATCACAAATATTTTCCCTATACCCTTAGTTACCTGAAAAGTTTGTAATAGATAATCTTCCCATCAGTGGAGCTCCTGAGTGTCTTAGTTGATTTCTTCTGCTTGGAGTTCTAAATGTTCTCATTGGGATTCTGCAAAAATTCAAAATCCTTTATTTCTTTGGATAAAAGTTAAAAATTCCTAACCTTCACAGCTGCAAATTTACCAAAAAACCACTAGAAATTTGTTACCACATTTAGTATGGTCACACATGTCTTCTTTGAGTCTTAGTTTTATTAGTGTGAGCCTAGAGTTATTTCTAGTGTAATCTTTTCCCATTTCCTGGCTTCAGCTTTTGAGAACACTTGCTTTAGAAAGGATAAAATCTCAGGCTATTTATCTAAAAGTTATTTTCCCAAGTCCTCCATATTCTCAAGTTTGATAAAAAATACATGTTTTGTTGTACTACAGAGCAAAAAAAGAGAATTATTGTGTAGTTTGGTTGGGTTTTTATTTGTCTTAGACCAAAATGTCCCATAGTCTTGGCCATCAGTCCTTCAAAATAATTTGTTATTTAATTTTAAACTTCAACATTTTGTAAATCATGCATCTGGCAAAAATGGAAAGTAATGGGCAATACTCAGCTGTCTCAACCCATTGGAGGATTCCTGGTTTGGCAATAGCTCTTGCAGAGGGCAAATGTGATCACTTCTGCATGGCAAGAAAATAGTCTCAATGGCTGTACTGAAAGACACAGGCAACTTTTGGGAGCAGAGAAAAATCAGACTGAAGTTCATCTAAATAGTATTGTTTACAACAGGTTTATAAGATTGCAGGAAACATTTTGTTCTCTCCTGCTCATCTCTGTATTGGCTTTTGTTTTAAATGTGATCTTTCCCAGTTACTTTTCTCTTTTGCTATCAAATTTTGGTATTGTATACTTCCCATGCTGCTCTTGCTAGCTGCTTATGAGTTGATTAAGGTGAGACATAGAAAATTTGTTGGAGGTCAAAAACTTCCCCAGGGACAAAGTTGTGGAGAGAGTCTGTCAAAA